ACCATGGACCCTTTTCCATATTTGACAGGGTAGCCTTGTCCACCTACAAAAATTCCAGCCATAGGATGGAGAGAAGAGCATATGCACATTGGCACAGAATATTTTAATTTCATCTGCAAGCTGTGTTATATGAAGAGTCCTGAAATGCTAATGAAACAATTTTCTAATGAGACCTCTAATGAAAAAACAAAAAAGTGATGGTGAAAAACTCATGTGAAATGTTTATAAATAGAATCTGCTTTCTAGAAGAAGGAAATAGAAATACATGGCAGACAGAAAAATCCATAACTACTCTTTCATAATCTTCTCAGTATGAGTGCTTAGATATCAGCAAATATTTGTGGGAATAGGAAAACACGGAAACAGGATTGCTTTAGACCATCTGGGTAAAAGGAAAAAAGAAAGTAATAATGATATAATATGCAGCATGAAAAAGGTATCTAAGCAGCATGATGTAAGGAATGTTTTACAGCCTCCTCTGCTGGAGCTGGGTATCAGTAAAAGAAAAGAATTACCTCCATCCTCTCTTGCTTGACGTCATCAACCTCATCATCTTCAAAGATGGCTAGGAGCTCTCCAGTCTGGTCAATGGAGTTGAGGAAGTCTTGAGCAAGCTTCTGCCGTTTGTTGGTGTTGTTACTGCTGAATTTGTCTTCACAAAGGTAAGCAAAGACCAACAGACTTGAGTTATTTCGTTTCCCCAAACATCAGCCGATGTCCCTAGGAGGGACATGTTTTAGATTCAGACGCACTATGCAGAAAAGACTTGTTCTTACTATTGTTCTCATAGAAGCTGTGCTACCTGGCCAAGGTGATGTCATGGCTTTGCTGCAGTAGCAGTGTAGTAAAAAAATCTCCTTTAGTGCTTTGTAGTATGACTCGGTGTTTTATTTTGTAATCTAGAGAAATCCAGTCTACTGCTCATATATCATTATATCTCAGCGAAGGAGCCACAGTGGACAGAGCTATGGAAGAAACTGCCCTTCTGCGGTTGCACAAAAACCTCACTCACAGGACAGAATACAGAGAGGAAATGTTCTTTCCTGAGAGCACGCAGAACATCCCCCTTGCCTGCAAACCATAACACACACACTACGATGCAGCTCCACAGGTGATGGACCATGGCTCCACGGTACAACCCAGAGAACCCTGCCAAGGTGATCCCTGTGGTTCTAAAGAGCACAGCAGCTGTACGGACATCAGCTTCACAAAACAAAGAGAACGGGTTCAATTAACAAAGTCTGCCCGTAAATGCAATCTTTAATTCCTAGACGTGTTTATGAAGCATTCCAGGAGTGTCTAAATGGCTAACGAAAATTGCTTATTTGTTTTAAACAGTGACACGGACTTAAGTAATAAGAAAACCAAAGCTGTCAGGTAGGAAGCAATACTGCCAGATCGCTTGCACAAAACAATACGCTTTCATGTGTGGTGAAATTAAAATGCCAGAGACAAATTAAATCTCAAATGATTTTACAAAAACTTATCCCCAGATGGACTAAGCCAAGGCAAGCAGTACAATGTTTACCTAACATCACTGAGGATGCTCGGAGGAACCAAATAAAAGGAATGCATTGTAAGGGAATAAAAATGAAAACGAACGGCTCTGAGAAGGGAAATAAGTTACGTACAAAAAGTTGTGTATGGACATGGCTACATGTTACAGAAGTGTGGAAAGACTTAGATTTGCTATGGTAAGTTAAAACTTAACTTTTCACAAATTCTTCTATTAATATAAAACAACACGACTTTATACCAGCAAATTAAATGGCATAAGTAAGTATATTTTTAACTCAAAGAGGTTTTCCTTTAAATGCATTTGTTATAAAATATGTGACTTACTCAAGGAATAGAGAAACAAAAGTGTTTCCCATTCTTTAAATTACAAATTCAAAGTCTCAAACATTAAACCATCCTGAAAACAAACCCAGTTCATATAGCAGCATTGATGGACTTCAGGTTATGGGAGTTTTTTGTAAAACATGTCAAAACTCTTGGCTAATAATTTAACAAATGTCCATTCAACTGCACGTGGTAGCTGCCGCATTTAAATTACACCCCCTGAAATCAATTAGCCCTGTAATCAGCACCAGTTTCTTACTCCAACAGAGCCCTGACATTAAGCAGTCTTACTTATCGTTTCGATGGTAGATGCAAATACTTACTTAAAAAGTATTCTAAATGGAAAGACAGAGATTTTAAGACCAAATTACTTGAAGTCAGTATTTTTGCATCTTTAACTATTAAGCAAGACATTAATGCTTTGTGTTGAGCTTATCAGCACATTAACCAAATATCCAGCCTCTCCCAAACAAAGTAATTTTTTTCTACCTTCCAGGAGGTCATCTTCTTCTATTCCCTTGACAATTTTAGATTTGTAGTCTCGAAAAAACATATATTTAAGTAGCCTTCTAAGCTTTTTCTAAGAGAAAAAAAAAAACATATTAATTAGCGTTAAAAGGTTATTTCACTATATGGGTAGTTTTTACCTAGACTAACTCTGTAACACACAAACATAAGAATGTGTACTACATTACTCAGTAAATATAATTTTTTAAATGGTTTTTGGTTCTGCATACATAGAAAATACATCAAGGTCAGTAGCAATTCCACATCAGATTTTACTTATTTGAGGTCGTTGCTTGTCAACCATGGGATAGAAATGGGGTTGATTTTCAGAGAGCAGAAATTCAGAAATCATGCTTCTTTTAGGGCACTCCAAAATCTTTGCTTAGTTTGGAAATTCAAACCTACAAATGCACATTTCCATGACCTCTGACATCTATATTAACCATTATTTTCAGTATAGCCTTAAGGATCATATCATACAAAGAAACTGCAACTGGTTTTCATGTTTTAGGGTTTTTTTTTAATTTTGGATGGTTTTTTTCATTAGTTTCACTTATCAAAAGAGGAAAGAAAATCAAAAGGGAGAGAAAAGGGGAGAGAAAGAAGAGAACTAAAGAAGAAAAGGAGATGAAGGAAGAATAAATAATGTTGATCAAAATAGCTGACAATTTTTAATTATTTTGAAATTTGAAGAAAGAAAATTAATTTAATCTTTGCATGGAATTTTTTTTTTTAATTATTGACATGCTCTATTTACTACCCAGAGAAAGCAAGACCACGTCTAAATTTGGAGATTTTAGCTTGATAAAGTACAAGAAAACTATTACAAAGGAAAATCAGGACAGGATTTACTGACACTCTAGATAACAAGAATGTAATGGCTGCACTGTAAAATGTCACTTCTACACCTGAAAAACCAGGAGGAAATTAGAATGATTGATTTTTAATAAAAGGTATATAAAGGTTAAGGATCAATATTTATATCTCTATTAAGAAATTATTCTGAACTCTAAGGAACACTATCTACCTAAAGCTTAGTGAAAAAAAATCTACTGATAATTGAAGTTGCAAGAAAAAATTAGAATTAATTAACATGTTGAACAAATATTGTAGTGTGTACAATACAATGCAGTTGCAGAGCAGCTACACTTTTAAATAGAGCCACTTGTGATGACGGGCTCCTTTCGCATAGGTTAAGCAAGCACCTTAAAACACACTAAGCAGCTTTCTAGGTAAAGTAAGAAATTTCTGTCTCATTACTCTACCTTATCTTTGCGCATTAAGAACAGGAGATCTTCAGCAGAGATGACTCGAGCTCCTCTCAGCTGAGAAACTTCAGCTGCTTGCTGTAACTAAAATAAATGAATAAATTAGGATGGTTGTTCCTGTATTAAAAAAATTTATTCAGTAGGGTTTGTTTTAAATCAGTTCAGGTAATATTTTGCATGGTAGTGCATAGCAAAATACAAGTTATGCACTAAAACACAGCCTGGGACTCTCAGAGGTGTCACTCACCCGGCTCTTGTTAGCCAAGAAGTGCATAACAATTTCACGAAAAGACTGAAAGACTTTTGATAAATCTCAGGCAAAAGCTTTTTTGTTGATATTTAAAATGACTGCTTTTAAAAAGCAAAAGCATACATCCTTCTTGTTGTTTTTTTTTTTCTTTTTCCTTTCTTCTGCTGCACCACACTAGCCCAGCAAATGAACATATAATTCCCTCAGACAACGTGAAAATGCCAAATTCTTGCCATAGCACTTTATGTGCAACTGTGGAAGGGTGGCTGATCCCACTTAGAATTTTTTTAGAATAACAAATACTAATTTTTAACATCTTACCAGGTATTTTTTTTTAAAGAAACTCTACCCTTACTTGACTTATCATTAGTACAGGTAAGACTCACATGAAGAACTTTTTCAGGCAGACTTATCTGAGAGAAGAAAAATGATGTGACAGGAAACGCTGAATCTGTTAATAAAGTAATTGGAAAAACCTCACTGGGCAGACCAGGCCATTCAGACAGGAAAGAGAGAAAGATGGGATTGAGCAATGAGTGCCACAAAAATTGGTAAGAGGTTGCCAAAGGAGCGTGAAGCAAAGAGCCGCCCTCGCTTCCATCCCGACGGTGCCTCTAAACTCACATTTTGCTGTAAAGAGCAAAAATCTTTCTCTAAGGGACTAAGCTTTGGGTTCACCTTCAGTAGGGGCAAGAAATTGGGCCAGTTTATACACACATAGATCATATCAAGACCAGTACAGGATTAGAAATCGTCCTGCGCACGCTGATGTGTATCAAGCCACTGGGCTAAGGAGCTCCAGCTCAAATGCAGAAGTTTATGGGATTTTCTGCTTTCACTTCATCAGCCTTTGATTCTGGTGTAAGAAAGTGCTGTAAAATTTTGAGCAGGGTGGGACAGAAAGGATGCTTCAGAGCATGGAGTGTGCCTTTCCTTCTAAATTCAAAACTACTATTCGAAAGGCAAGAATTAATCATCATCTCTTTGCTTGTTAACCATCTAATGGATGGACTGACAGCGAGCACAGTACGAAAGTTATCAAGAGGAGAGATGCTTAAAAAAATTCTTGATATGAAAACTCATACACACCTGTAATACGGTCGATAAACAGAAAGTTAATTTATTTTTACATAACTCTATATTCTTCTTTCAGAAATGCACTAATGCACCTGAAAATAATTTAAAGAAATCCTATCCTTCATACTAATACTAGCAATGGTTTCACTCAGTATCACTGCCTGAATAAGTATATTATTAATCTGAGCTCCCATGCTGCTATGACTTGAAATAGGCCTATTCAGAAGTTAAAAAGATCAACAAAAACAGTAGCTGTTTCTAATATCCAAAGGAGGAGAGGGGGGGGAAAAAAAAGATTTTCACTTTGGCAAGTGTTCAGTGGGCAAAAGATTCAGTCCATAAATCATAATACTGGACTGCATTAATTTTTTTCCACACTAATCACATGCACACAAAACGTTAACTGTATCTCGTACGCACAACACAAAACATACTGCATGAAGAGTTTCAGATTTTCCCCGTGAAACCTGCTCTTGGACCTTGCAGTCACAGAGACCGGAGAGATTTCAGGAATTCAGAAGTCACAGTAACATAATCTTACTTGAAAAATGTAAGAATGCGAAAAACGATAGTTCTATTTTTTTGGCATAAGGAAAACTGTTTCTTATTCTGATTAGTTTGAGGGCACGCAAGCTACTTATATTTCTAATGTAAAATATAAAGAGCTGGAAAAAAATAAATTTACCAAAAACGAGCCAATATTCATCTCTGGTGTAAATCTATTGCAGTTAATGGATTTCTGCCAAGGCTGACTTTGGCCTCAGCAAGCTTAAAAGTGTTACAAAACCTGACCTTAGCATGGTGATAACACAACACAGCTTTTCCAAATACTACATAAAACAACGGCAGAACTATCCAACTGGAGGGTATGCTCTAGCTCCTGAACCCGTACAGAACTGTAATGACAATCTTTAAGGTCCCTTCCAAGCCAAATCATTCTATGATTCTAGAAGACCTTAATTTTCTTAATATAAAATTCATATAATTTCTGCGTGTAGCCTTATGTTTCCAAATGATAAACGCGTGACATCATTTAAACCAACGATGGTGTGCAAGCTGCTTACAGGAACCTGCCAGTGAAGGAAGGGACCGTAAAGAGTGGAGGCCAAATTCACGTCCCATTTGCATCTAAGTAAATCCTGAATAACACTGTTTATTTTAAAGGAGTTATTCTGGGCTAAACACAAGATCAAAATCTGGAATAATATTCTCAGTTTCTACAAAAACAATGAAAACTTTATTCTCGTATTGCCTCGACTTCTGCATCTATTTTATTTTAAGGAATGAACACACAACATTTAATTTCTTTGGCTTAAAGAAAGCAAAATACGAAAATAATTACTTCCTGTACAGTTATAAAATATGGATTATTTATCCAAACAGACCATAATGAGTTCTGCATTGGTACATATATTTACCTGGGAAGCCAGGATATGCTCAGGTAAATATGTATCCAAGCAATTAAAAAAATATTACACGCCACAGAGTCGAGGTTGGGGGGAAGATGTATTTATAGTCTCAGCACACACATAATTGACTCATTCAAACCACAACAGGAGTGCTTTGCTATAATTAGTATTATAACAAACTGTCTTACTCGACTGTCCCAGAGTTGCCATTAAGATGCCATAAGCCCCGATGCCTTAATTTCCGGAGCTGAAGGCCTTGTTGAATCATTACCACGGCTGCGTTACATGACGAAGGGGGATTGCAGGAAGCCATATGAAAGAAACGATCCATCTCCAAGAACCCAAGCATTCATCATGCCAGAAAAGCGATTTCCAGGTACACAGCCTTGAAGTCAGGAGGTCTTTCACCTTTCGCTGCAGGGGAAACACTGGGCGGTTTTACATTGCGAGCAGCAGGTCTATTGCTCCAGGTGATGGGTGTGATATAAATGCTGCAACAACTTCATGTATGAGGTTACTCCATGGCAACAGTGGAGATAAAGAAAGAATTTCCCACTGTCTCCCTTCTCTTCTCTTCTCTTCTCTATCCAGAGCCAGTCACAGAATTTGGAACAGCAGCAGTTCCAGCATACTCACTGCTTTTGCCTTATTTCATTACCGCTTGAAATTATTTAGTCTACTTTACAAAATATTTTGGCTTGAATCATCCTGAAGAACAAATCAAATTGATTAGACTCTTAAAGAAAAACAGACTAAATTTCTTAACAGCAGCAAACAATAGTTGAGACCTTGGAGCGTGAATATATGTTTTTATTACAGTCAGATTATGAACCCCTAAAAGTCAAGTTTAAATAACGGAAGTGTTGAAATGACTTTAACTATAGGAGCGCAAATAGCTCTGCTAATAATTAGGAGTTTATGAAAAATAAGTGTACTTTACAATTTTTCACATTACAAAGAAGGTAGTATATACAGTAACTATATTTTAAAGTCTAAAAAGAAATGGCTGGGGAATAATATTTTAATATGTAATCACTGGTTTAATGACTTTATGAAGTTAACTTTCTTGGCAGGATGAACTGAAGTATGTTAACAGTCACCTTACGGCTATTTTCTTTTTGCAACTTCTGCAAATTAGAGATTTGTTGAAAGGAGTATTCATTCTCCTGTGACAGAAGCACAGTTACTTCAATGGCACTGTCTGCCTTTTTTTTTTCCTTCGGAATTATTTTTTGTTCCGCTACCTCCAAAGTCAACAGTCACCAATACTTCTACAAAAACGACGTGATGGACAAACAGACAAAAAGTTGGAAAACAAACATACTATGTTGTGACTTAATCCTTCCAGTTAAAACTGCAGGACGGAATCGAAATCGTAATGTTTGCATGCCTCGAAACTGCCGGGAGCCAAGAATAATGCTTCAGGAGCTGTGATTTTGTTTTCCTTATACAGGAAAATTAGATCCTAGTTCACCTGGCTGATTTTTTTTTTCTAAGGCAGGAAGGTTGTTTTGTTGTTAAATATGCACAAAAATGTCCTACTCCTTCATCTTTTCTAGATCAAAAGTATGTGGACATACTGTGCTGTAATATATTCTAGACAGAACATCCCAATACCTTACTGGAAGCAATTAAACTTTGTTTTTTACTTAAATCTTTCCGTATAATATCTCACATACTACTAATGCTGACACCTGAGGTTCTAACCATAATACACACTGGAAAAATACAGAACGTGATTTATAGAGTTAGCACATCCTCAAAGGACATTACGGAGTGCACCAGAGCACTCCAACAGGTAACGATTTAGGACGATCACACAAGGGTTAAACAGCATGACTAAATTGCCACAAGCTGTCTAAAATATAGAACCTTCACCTGCAGATTAAATGAAAATCAATTTTCTTCTTATGAGGTATCTATTTTCAAATCTAAGTATTTCTTAATGAAGACCATTTAATGTAACACCAAGTGATTATGGGTGACCTTGGGAAGACAAAGCTCTGCATCCCATTTTGAAACTTTAGAGAATCACAGAATCATTTGGGCTGGAAAAGACTTTCAAGATTGAGTCCAACCATTAACCCAGCAATGTGTCCAGCTCAGCTCAAGAGAGACAGGGAACTGCTGGAGAGAGTCCAGCGCAGCCACAGGGATGATGGAGGGAGTGGAACATCTCCCTGATGAGGAAAGGCTGAAGGAGCTGGGTCTCTTTAGCTTGGAGAAGAGGAGCCTGAGGGGTGACCTCATAAATGTTTATAAATACATCAAGGGGGAGTGTCAGGAGGACGGAGCCAGGCTCTTTTCAGTGATGTCCAATGACAGGACAAGGGGCAATGGGTACAAGCTGGAACATGGGAGGTTCTACAGAAATATTAGGAAAATCTTTTTCACTGCGAGGGTGCCAGAGCCCTGGCACAGGCTGCCCAGGCAGGTTGTGGAGTCTCCTTCTCTGGAGACATTCAAAACCAGCCTGGACATGTTCCTGTGTGACCTGCTCTGGGTGATCCCCCTCTGGCAGGGAGGCTGGACCAGATGATCTTTCGAGGTCCCTTCCAACCCCTGACAGTCTGTGATTCTGTGATTCTGAGATTCTATGTTCTGTGAATGCCAGGTCCAACACTAAACCATGCCCCTGAGCACGTTACGTACACGTCTTTTGAATATCTGCAGAGATGCCAACTCCACCATGTCCCTGGGCAGCTTGTTCCAGCGCCCCACAACCCTTTTGGTGAAGAAATTTTTCCTAATATCCATTCTAAACCTCCCCTGGTGCAACTTGAGTACATTTCCTCTTGTCATATCACTTGTAACTTGGAAGAAGAGACCAACCCCTATCCGGTTACAACCTCCTTTCACGCAGTTGTAAAGTGGTAAGTAGAGCATATTCTCACTTGACATATAGTGAATTTCAGTCTGCACTTACTGAGAAGTTGTGTCCAAGTACATAATTCATTATATTGGTTTCTTCAAAAAAACTGTAATCTTTATTCTCTGAGGCAGAATGAACTGCTTCATTTTGCCTTCTAGCAGGTGGCAAAAGCTTTTGGTTTCCACAGTTGAGCCAGCCCAGAGAACTAGATCTGGATACAGAGAGTGTGCAGCCAGTTGCCAGTAGTCGGAGAAGGATTATCCCCAAAGAACGTCCAGTAAACACTAGGTTACACGAGGACTCCTTCCCTTCAAAAGTATAGAGTATGTCTACTGGTCCAATACTCAATGACAGGTTTGACATCAGAAGTGACAGGCAGTTGATATAAATTTAAGAAGTCAGATTGTTCTAACAAACACAGGAGAAAACAGCCCCTTTCTCTTTGTTCTAGAGAGCAATGCCATAAAATTGAACATTACTAGACAACTCAACTTTAAAGCACACATAAAATGCATAATTATAATGTCAGAAGAGGCCAGACTATTTCAGCACCCAGGGCATCTTCAGGCTGTACCCTACAACGCACCTCACGTGTGGAATTATTCAATTTTCACAACAGATTCTGTATGTTTGTTCAGCTCGTTGGATACGGTGTGGTAACTCCTGCAGGTCAGTAGGCAGTAGAGCACCAATCCCATCACAAACTGGGATTAAGGAAAGATGAACCCTAGTCCTCTGTATTTACTATTTTAGCAGGCATAATCATAGCTGAGCACCACATTTGTTGATACACTGAACCACTCTTGCTTAAATTGCAAATAAGCACAATTATTAGAAAAATTGTAACTTATTTGTAAAGTCCACTAGCCTAGGCTCTGCAAAAAGCAAGATTTGCATCTATTGGAGACTATTTATGATTTTTTAAAATTATATTAAATACATTAAATAAGGAAAAGAATTTTCCAAGGAAACAGTGAAATTAGTATTGCTATTTTGCAAAATATGAGCATTAAATCAAAGTTTGTTTATTTTTTTAACAATATCTCTTATTTATAAATAATTTAAGCTTAACTTCTTAATTTAGAGCTTGTTGTTGCAGATTCTGACACACAGGGAAAAGAATTTAATGTGCTTATGAACAATAACCACATTTTAGTTTAAGTTTCAGATATGACTTTTTCTTATTTTTCCTTCTTTCAATTCTAAATCCGAGAGACATTTTGGGCCAACATTTTATATCTGTAATTCTACTTTCCATGAAACAAAATAAACCCTCTTGCACACCTGACATTTATAGCAAGCAATACTGACCAAACAACATGAAATGATATCAAAAATGTTAAAATCATAAAATCTCTAAGTGTAGAAATGCATTCAGAAATATTAGAAAAAACTTTTTCATTGTGAGGGTGACAGAGCCCTGGCACAGGCTGCCCAGGGAGGTTGCGGAGTCTCCCTCTCTGGAGACACTCAAAAACCACCTGCACACATTCCTCTGTGACCTACTGTGGGGGATCCTGCTCTGGCAGGGGGGCTGGACTGGATGATCTTTTGAGGTCCCTTCCAACCCCTGACATTCTGTGATTCCGTGATTCTGAGAATTCAGTTTTAATGTGGTCAGATCGTTTAGTGGTTGCACAGATGTCAGTTCATCACTTGGTGTAGTGGTGGCCACTGCTGATGTTCCCTCTCACCGCTGGTGAAAACAGTGGGAAAGGAAACTTGGAAACTATTAGTGTAGTTATTATTATTACAAGGGAGAAAAATTAAGCTTGAAATACACCATCCAAGGAGAAATGATGGAGTAGTGCTCTCTAGAACAAGCGAGAGACTGAGAAAAAAGGTTTGCGAAGTATAAACTTTAAAGTCTCCAGAGAAGGACTTCTTGCAAGGTTGTAACAATAGGACAAGGGGTACTGGTTTAAAAATGGAACAGGGTAAATTTAGGTTAGAAATTAGGAAGAAATTCTTTACTGTGAGGTCGGTGAGACACTGGAACATGTTGCCCAGGATGCCCCCTCCCTACAAGTGCTCAAGGCCAGGTTGGACGGGGCTTTGAGCAGCCTGGACTAGGTGTAAAGTGTCCCTGCCCATGGCAGCAGGATTGGACTAGGTGATCTTTAAGGTGCCTTCCAACCCAAACAGTCTATGATTCTATGAATCATTAGTCAATATGAAAGTTTCAAAGACAAAAGCACTCCAATGTCTGCAAACAGATCCCTGTTTTTTGAAGATGAGCACAGAGGCCTTTTATTGACTGTCCGTGTTCTAGGACCGTCAGGATATTCTCAATACTAAGGTAAACGATGCCATTCCACTAGAAACCATTGGCAGCACATTTCCCTGTATCCAAACTCAATAAATGATGATGTTTTAGAGAAAATTGACATAGAATCATAGAATAGTCTGGGTTGGAAGGGATTAAAAGTCATCTAGACTCAAATTTTCACAACAAGCTG